TAGCGATGGAGTAGACCATGTAAAAAAGTTTTTTGGATCAGCTTGCTGGAGAGAAATTGACCTGGTGAACGTTTTAAAGTGATTAATCGAAGGACTTTCTTCGATGATTCAATCTTTATCTTCAATCTTAGGTATTTAGCCACGCGCGATCTATTGTGAACTCTCTCTCACGCGCATCTGATTTATCCGCGCCTACAGATTCCTAATTGACTCGGTAATCTTATCTTATTAGTCTTATGTATAAAAATACTATGAAGAAATAAACTGCTTTTTGTTTTGTATAATTGTCTCTAAGTGCATTATTTCAGTTCGCTATTTCATATCGAACTGAAATAATCCCACCAGAATTCAACCGCCCGAATCCGTCCCGAATCCAACCGCCTACTCACGCGACCGCTTGCGTAACTAAGGTAGAACAAAAGTAAACAGCCATTGTTGCTTTTGTGTCTATAGAGACACAGTGGTATCATCCTGACGTGGCATCGAAGAGGTGCCGACCTTCCGATCACAAAGTTATCAATTCTCGCGGAAATTTTGTATGTATATTTTCCTTCTTTATTCAATTTTTCTTGTAACCATTTTCAGAACTATTTGTTGAATTAGGAGCTGAACAATCTGCCATTAAAAAAACCAACTTTAACGTGTATAGACTAAACATTGCAGTGAGCATACTATGTTTTTGCCTTAGCTATACAGTAACAATTTTCATAACTTTTACTGAGTTTTCAGGAGGATGTGGGATACTAGGGTATTCGCTGCAACATAGTTTATTTCGTTAATCTTCTTCCCGCTTAATACCACCAGTGATTCCACACCTGTTGCGCGGATCACGGAATTTTCTCCACTTTCAAAGCAAATCCTTGTAAAGGAGTTTTAGAGATCTGATGTTTGCCGGTTGGGTCTGAAAGAGGAAAGTTCTTACTCCGGAGGTCAACACTAGATAATATGTTCGCAGGAGAGCGGGGTGGCGTATCCGTAGAGGAAATTGCCAAGGTATCCGTTAATGAAACAAACACGATGTATTCGACGACTGGTTGAAGAACTGCGACGACTGAGTTGGCTGGCCCTTAGTTGTCATATTTAATCGGTAAAATCGGAACAGCATGTCAGACGGTCGCGAGAAAGCGTCTCCTTTGACACTGAGAACATGTAGGAAAGTTGTGAAAGTTGACAGATATTATTGACGACAAAGTTATATCATTGTTTAGTTGTTTAATTTGAAGTCCGTGTTATCACAACTGCAAACTATCGCCATTTGGCGAAAATGAGGAAAACAATAATACTAAAAATGTTTTTGATACAATATTCAGATAGGGGAAAACTAATACTTAAGCGATTTTGTAGTTCAGTGTGAGCTTTTGTTCCAATTTGACACAAAATATATATCAAAGGAGTTTGATATTACTACCAAACAGCGAGATATTCTTTTAAAAAAAAGCTGCTGCAAAATGAAAATGATTATTAAAAATTCGTTTTTATAAGGGAAAATTAACCAGAAGCGAGTTGCTCAACTTTCCCGGCAACATTTAAAATGCTTATTTACAATAAACGTTAATGAAATGTGATAAAACCTTTTGTATTATAATTGCCAAATCTTTTGTATTTTTGATGTTAAAGAGTGTTTACAGATAGCCTGAAAGACAAGAGATGGCGAATGATCATACCTGTTATTAAGAACTCTGTATATAGCAGTAGTTTGAAGTACAGTACAAATAGGCACCATATTTAATTTTGTCGATTTTGTCATAACTGATAAACGTACGAATGCACATTCAAAATTGTTTTAACAGCCCGAAAAAACAAACAGATCAATGAAATACAAGCTACGTGAAATCCCAAGAGCATTCACGGTTGGAACTTCAATCAATCCCTTTCCACGCGCCACGTATTTTGCAGTTTCAACGGTCAAGCTTTCACATGTGGTCATTAGTAATCTTTTCTGTTACGTACTTTATGTGAAACTTTAAGATCGAATCAAAGTATTCCCTCACAAAAGCATTATTTTTGCTCATAGGATCGGGCGTATTGTAATGATGGAAGAAGGTAATGCACACTTGGGTACTCTGCCAAGGGGGTTCCTCCCAGAAGGAGTTTGTATGTGTCCATAGAAAGTCCAATAATCCCTATTTAGGTAAACACACATGAAATTTTGGAAAACTTCACGTGACCAGTCCGTTGGCCAGGGAAGAACCCGCTACCGGTGTTCAATTGTTTCATTCACTCGGCCACTGACGGATTTATAAAAAAGTAAACAGAAAAAAGTCATTGTATTTAACTTAGAACACAAAGAAGAATGTTCTGCAACAAAACGCAATTTAATTTTCAAGTTTTTAAACTCGCTTTATTATTAAAATGTATCTTATACAACAAGCTGTTAAGTAAACTAATTTAATAGAAAGTAAAAATTAATTTAAAAAAATTTTAAATTTTTACACAAATAATAAAGACCATAAATTATTTTAATGTTAGTCTGTGTACATTAAAATACTGTAATTTATGACCTTTATTATTTAGGCTATATAAACATTTCAAAATTTCTGAATTATTTTTGTCGTTTAATTAGTTTGTTCTACTATATCAGATAAGTTGTAACAATAAAACGAGTTAAAAAATTTGAAATTTAAACCGCATTTTATATTGAAGACCATTCTTCTTTATGTAACACCTAAACGTGTGCTAATCTCCCATTAAAAGCCCTCTCCTGGGAATCACCTCCCTTAGCAGATTTTTCAAGTATTGCGTTAAGTGTCCTCATTCTATCAATCTAATTCATTTGTCGCATCATGGTATCTCTTGGTACCTAAGATTTTTGACGATGTCGACTTTTATTTTGGGGCTCTCATCCACCTCAATATGCAAAATTTTTTTGAAAACTTCCTCTAGCGGAATCACAAAGAATATTTAAAAACGTTTAAATAAATTTCGCATATTGAAACAGATGAAATCCTCATGAGGAAGATCGACTATACCAAAAGACTGTTTTCATGCATACAATAAATTTACACAACTAAACAGAAATGTTTTTCTTTTATATACTGTATATACAGAGAGGCGCAAAAGTCAGTTAACCAAGATTGATTCACTTCCAATTAAATAATTAATAGAAGCTGTAAAAATCGGTTTAAAGCCAATTAAATATATTCTAGAGCAATTGACGTGCTGGTTTTTTTTTATCGTGGGTAAATACAAGTAACAATAATTACGTAAGGAGTATTACATTCTGTGAAGTGCATACTGTATCAGATCAATTTTACCAAAAGAAATTAAATCCGAAAATGAAATTTACTTCTCTTTCCGATATAGCAAGTCCATAAATATGCAAATCGAATCGTCAGCATTTAAGTATAAAATAGAAATTGATATTAAACTTTAAAATATCTGCAGAAAAAAAAATCGATAAAAAGAAAAATCCTATTTATAGACTGATTAATATACATTAATTTAATTGTATAAAGTTTAGAATTAAACACCATCCTAATCAGGTTCTTATGTTACGTGCTCCATGTCATCTTTTCTTTAAACATCCTTTCTTCTTCTTGTTGGATGATCTGTGAATGTCGGTCGGTCTGTCTGTCTATTCTTTTAACGTAATACATTTTTACCATTATTTAATAATTAATATTTAAGTTAATGCAACACGAGCGGCGATAATATAATTCGTTTAAATTTGTGTGATATTTTTATCAAAAATTCACCAAAAATAAAGTTACTTACTTAGCGCCATCTGATAGCTATAATAAGAACTAAATTATTTAATTCCACTTCTAGTTAATGATAGAACTACTTATTAATTTTCCTATAATTTTTTATAAGTAATTTAAATTATGGAAATTTGAATATTAAAATATATGCTTGTCACTACTGCTTAGTTGTGTTAAAATAAATATTTTTGTTATTTTTTTGGATTCTAATTTAATTAATTAATTAAATTACAATCCAAACAACATAGAAATTACACTTAAATCATCAGAATGCAATCTTCTATCATTTTAATGTTACCAGTAGCATCGTGATAAGTCTCTGTTATCTCTACTGTTATTTCAGATATTAGTTTCAACAATTTTCAAAACAAGAAGCTCTTTTATAATGTTTAAAACTGTTATATTGTTACATATTGTGAATGAAAGTTTGTACATAATGTTCTGTGTATAATATATCTGTTTAATAAATAGATAATGGTAAATAAGTAAATAAATTTGCATTTTACTGTTTTGTTTTATGACATATGTATGACAATGTAATTAGGAAAACCATAGCTTATCCTCTGATACATTTAAATAACAATAGAAATTTAATCCAGATAAAGATAAAGTATTTTTTTAAAAATAATTTATTTTAAAATAATTTAAATTTAACACTAAATAAAGTATGCTATACAATTTTATTCGATTCAGTACAATGAGAAATATTACTTGGGATGAAATAGTTTTGTATTTTTGACAAAAAATTTATTTCTTATGGCATTCACATTAACTCTACATATTTTAACTTTGGCTATAAACATATTCTGTACAATGTGAATGAAGATTTATTGATGGTCTGCTGAACATATATCTAACGTTTATATAGGCATATGGCACGATTTTGTACATTTACTTTAAAGCTTATTAATTTTGTTAAAGTTTTTATTTCAGTAATCATTATACATTCGTGTGGAAGAAATCTGAAGACGTGTAAATTAAAGATTTGTGAAGGATATTTCTAGAATAAATCACATTTGTAAGTAGCCTACATATTATGCACTGTACGAATGTCGTTTGCCAATACAGCTCGTCGATGGAAAAAAAAGGAAAACTGAGCCTTTCTGTATGCTTTGTAACTTCTTCTAAAGCCTTAATAATGAACATTTAAATGTTTATCTGAAAATTTTTCTGCTTACAATATTATAGAAACTTTTCAAAAAAAAAAAAAAAAAAACCGAATTTATAATTCGTATAATTGACTTAAAATACTTTTCTACACAATTTAATAATTAAACGTCATCATTCCAACAATGGTTTTTATGGTTATTGTTAAACACTACTTCTCACAAAGAATGAAAATAAACAAGTATTGCAACTGAATTTCGGGAGGCTGAAGAGTTTCCACCGTAAAATTTCGAATGATATTTCATTCATGGAGGACGCATCGATAGGATGTAGGCTATTTGGCGTGGGACCGGGGACTAAATCTGAAGACAACCTTACCAACGGGAAGATTACGGGCTCAGCTAGACATTTTAACGATCGGGTAAGCTCGCGGTTTCACTTCAACACATCCTTACACACACTCCTCACGATAACATTCACAATTGAATCATTATCTCATTTCTTCAGTGCACTCATTCATTTACATATCACGCATCGTCGCTGTACACAACGCCGTCACATAACATCTACACCGCTTCCCAAAATCCAACATCTAGGTCCTCGTCCTGAGAAGTGGAAATGTCACTCGATAATTTCGAGTGGCAGCTAAAGGGTACACTGAATATTAACACTACAGCGTTTTCATAATCTTTTCTGTAAAATTTTCTAACAAATGATATAGGGAATATTTTATAGAACTGCTGAAACTTAATATAGATATTTTTAAAGTATACATTAAAAAGCATCGATAATTTATTTTGGTGGTATTCTACCAGGACCACGGGCATACTGTGCTGTAAAACGAACTCACGAGTAAGGCCATCCGGTATAGACTATATATATTGCGATAACTTGCTCTTATAATGTTTTCTAGATTACTTTCTATTTTAGGAACCATTATTTAAAAATGCAGACTCTGTAATAATCATTATGTTTCAACTCTTAATATAACGAATACTTAATTCAGTGTTGGATCCAATACAGCAGTTGGATTGTTAGGATGAGCCATTTTGCAGCACGTTCCAGCAAAATGGCATGCCGAGAGAGGCAAGACACAAATTATACAAGCCAGATGTTCATACCCGAATGGCTCATGACGTTCTCATCCAGACACAACATACGGAAGAGGTCTGACACCAAACTTCTTTATAGATTCCGCAGACGCCATTTTACTTTTCCGGCTCTATTATGTATAACAGAGGAAAAGTTTGACGCTGGATTAAAAAATAATCCCTAAGATTCTTACATTTTTAGACTCGGTCGACCTTAAAACGTTGATAAATGCAAAAAAATCTGAGTTTTCTGTTTGTGTGGATAGTAGTGTTTGTGTGTAAAATCCAGTAACATATCTTTCTTTTAGATTACATATCATTGCTATCACTGTCAATATTTAATAATACTATTTGAATCCTTGCCATCCTATATCTACCTATTTTGTACCTCTTACTCACTATCCTGTAATTACCTCTAACAAGTTAGTCAAATGGCTCCCTACCAGTGGCTAATGTATAGAATCGTTGGAAGCGTTATACGATATTTTGGTGTGTAGCTTCCACCAGCTAAACCACCAGAGGTTGATGCTATGTAAAGCGCATCCGCAAATCTGTCTGCTTTACACCATTCAGTTATTTTCGCCTTGAAAGCTTTCCCGTGTTCGACAATACGGCGCTTCCATTGGGAATAAGAATATACAAATTTATATTCGATATAATAGCAATCTTATCATTGTTTTTCACACGTAATATAGAAATTTGTAATAA